TCTTGTTTTTTGTCCGTCGCCTTCTTGTTTTTTGTCCGTCGCCGTCTTGTTTTTTGTCCGTCGCCTTCTTGTTTTTTGTCCGTCGCCGTCTTGTTTTTTGTCCGTCGCCGTCTTGTTTTTTGTCCGTCGCCATCTTGTTTTTTGTCCGCCGCCATCTTGTTTTTTGTCCGTCGCCATCTTACTTTTGTCCGTCGCCATCTTGATTTTTGTCCGTCGCCATCTTGTTTTTGTCTGTCCCCATCATTCTAGATGAATAATAATGAGTAATATGTTGTGTGTTTACAGGAGAAGATCCCAATGGAGGGGGAGAGTCCAGAGAACAGTCCGGCTGAGGTGGTGTCTGCTATCGACCAGCCGCCTCCACAGGTACATAACTCTTTCTTTATTACACCTCCTTTAAAGCTCACATAGACCTGAAGGGGAGGAGTCATATACGTGAAGGAATGAAACTGTTGTGTAATGTCTCCTGTGTCTCTGGAGGAGCGTTAGTCTGATAAAATACCCTTTCATTTCATCAAACATTGATATTTCATGTCTCATTATAAATGTCTCCTCTAATAAAGAGTTCACTTTAACCAGAGTGTTAAACATTAAAGTGTGAAACTGTGAAGTCATGATTGATTCATCTGAGACCAACAGTCATGTGACAACAAGGAGGAGAAACTGATCCGTTTCTTTTTTCTTTTAATGCTTTATGTCGTTATAACTGTGTTACATGTTCTAGTTCTCTCTACTTCGATCATGATAGTTCTGTTTCCATTGAAAAGTAGGACTTTTATATTGTGGTAAAAAACCCAGCATGTGGTTCAGAGGGGCACATCGTATACATATTGAATTTACTTTTTCCGTCGTTACTACAAAGTAAACATAGATTGAATGCTCAACGTGTAGTTGAAGTGGAGGTGGTCCTCTTATGCTGCTTATGGCCCAAACAACCTGAGAGACTTTTGTCTTCAGGGATTCTCTGCCAGAAATCTGAAGCAACAAACCTACTTGGTTGTGTTTGACAAAGGTCCTGGTTGGTTTGGGAGAAGATACATACGGTGAAAATGTTTCTTTCTTCTCTTCTAACAGAGCCAGAAATCCTCAAAGCTCCGGCACATTAAACGCGCTTGATAAAACAGCTATTTCTTTCTATTTTGTGGTAATTGTATATACTGTATATTGTGTGTGTGTGTGTGTGTGTGTGTGTGTGTGTGCGTGTGTGTGTGTGTGTGTGTGTGTGTGTGTGTGGTTAAAGGTCCGGGCGGCATGTGGAGACCCCAGAGGTCTGTTGTGGGTTCTCGATGAGGAGATGGTGACACCATCCTCCAGTGAGAACAGCACCCTGGAGAGAGTCTGCCAGTATTACAGCAACACTGGTATTTAAACGCCCCCCCAGTGTGTGTGTGTGTGTGTGTGTTGTGTTTTAATTACATGCTCATGATATCGTGGATGTGTGTGCGTGTCCCTGCAGTGCGTCAGTGCGAGCAGCCGCTGCAGTGTGAGGTGAACCACCTGATGGGCTGCGACCCGGTCCGCTACGACCTGACCGGATGGATCGGTCTGATCCAGAACAACCCGTCTGCTCTGAACGCCATCTGTGTGCTGCAGAACTCCACCATGTGAGTCTGATTCAGGCTGAAAACCTGATACACATGTACTTCTGTGTACTTCTGTGTACTTTTGATCGTGAAATCTTACTGCAACGGAACACAATTAGGAGGTTTAGCCCATATTTCTTCATATTTGTATCAAACTGGTATGAGTAAAAGTATGCCAAACTAGATACTCGCAGTTCCTTATTGCAGTGTACTCGTGTGTGTACACACAAATATCACTGGATTACTTTGATTCTGAAGAACACTTGATGATTCTCGCAGACGTTTTGGAATTCTGAGCATTTCATCAACGTTTATTTTGCGATGGACGACGTAGATATTGAAATCCTATCAGGATATTATGGTAGTAATATAATTATGTGTGTTTTTGGAGAGTGTATCTCAGTCTGTGTCATCTCAGAACACAAAATACACATTTCAGTACACACGATTGCTACAATAGTACCGACATAGAGCTAATAAATATATCAAAACAAGTGAACACACAACATTTTATCAAGTATTTACAGTATTGAACACTTAAGTGAATGCAGTTTTGTAATCTGATTACTCCTTCTCTGTTTGTCCTCCTCAGAGCGGAGGTGAAGGCCATGTTCACCCAGAAGATCTCTCTGCCCCCTCTGTGTCGAGGTCTGGGGGGTCTGGAGGGAGGCAGCCAGCGCTCTCTGCAGAGGAACGGCATCATCAGGAAGACCTTCAGCGGAGGAATGGCCGCCATACGCAGACACTCCCAGAGCATCGCCGTCAAACTGCAGGCAGTGAGTGCTGCTGGAGTTTGAAATAAAATCAATGTTTTAAGCACACATTCATCAAAATCAGTGTATCAGAACTGGTGTTAATGGAGTATGATTTAAGTGATTGAACATATAACCTGTTTATATGTAGCAGCAGAATAACAGTGTGTGCAGAAGTTTAGACTTCACGAGCTGGTCCATCCTGAGCTTCTGTTTTCCATCGGTACCAATCCTTAAGTTATCTCCTGAGAATACTTCCACAGTATCTGGATTCAGTCTCTCTTCTTCTTCTTCTCCTCCTCCTCCTCCTGCTTCTTCTCTCCGCCCTGCAGGACTCTCTGGTGAACCTGATCCGTCGAGCCCGGCCGGTGTTCCTTCAGTGTGTGAGCGCCAAGACGGACGGTGGAGGTTTTGACGTGGCGGCGCTCAGAGTCCAGCTTCACTCCACACAGATCCTGTCGGCCCTGCAGCTCCACCGCACAGGTCAGCATTTAAAAAATATAAAGTGTGTAAGCAGTGATACTAGTAGAAAAATTATTTTGCAAATAGATTAATGAAAATAGTACGTTTTTGTTCCAGCTTGCTTTTATAGAATAAGTTCGGGTGTAAATTCTGTGTTTCTCTCTCTCAGGCTATCCAGAGCACATGACTCTGAGCGACTTCAGGTGTCATTTCCAGGCGCTGTCGCCTCCCATCATGAAACGTTACGCTTCAATGTTTGTCAGCCACGATGAGAGAAAGGTCAGGGGTCACACGTCGCAGCAGCTCACACACAAAAACATCAGTTTATCTCCGATCTTCAGCTCTGAATGAATGAGTTCCTCTGTCTGTGTCTCAGGCGGTGGAGGAGTTACTGGTGGAGTTGGATCTGGACAAAAAGAGCATCGTCGTGGGCGCCAGCCGGGTGTTCATGAAGCGAGGTATGCTGCGTTACCTGGAGCAGCAGAGGGACCAGCAGGTCACCGGCTGGTTGGTCCACCTGCAGGCCGCCTCCATGGCACATCTGGCCCGTCAGAAGTACTGCAAACTCAAGGTTAGTGTCTCACTGTGGAGCTCTAATCTATCTGAACCAGATGGCAAGCCAAGCTGCATTCTCTCTAGTGTCCACCAGGGGGCGACTCCTCTGGTT